AAGGTGAGCTACTTTTGCTGTAACTAGGGTTTTTTGTTTATTGAATGTGAAGTGAATGAATTTTTGCTTACCATTGTCTGCTCTTCGCACCAGGACCCACACGCGCGCAGTGAAACACACTGTTTAGCTCGTCCGGACGCCCCACTCTTCTTCATTTTTCTGGTTTCATTCATGTCCAGCCCCCTTTTTACTTTTTTCAAAGCCTTTTTTCACTTTGGAAACACCGATGCACGCAGTTTCTTCACCTCAGACGCACTAGTTTCGATCGTGTCTTCCATTTTTCATCATAATCTGGATTACCCAAAATTATCGTGAACGATGCCTTTAATAAGTCCAATTCCCCAATCATGGGTCATGTTCACAGCATCGTTGAATGCTGCGAAGACAGAGAGCGGAGAGATATATTCTCATTTATCATTTATAGTTGAATAATTACCTCGAGGAAAAAGCTGGTGGAGAATCTAGCTTGCATTTGCTTCACTTTTGGTGTGTATCTGCTGTTACTGCGGAAGAATCTTCTTATATAAATATAACATACTGTAGAAATAATCAGAATCGATGGCACGAAAAGAAGCCGCATCGCCGTTTCCAAACGATTCATCTGTATATGATGTGATATGAAGAAAACGTTTTGCGAAGCAGCGTTGCTTCACTCTTGCTCTTTTGTGATTCTCGGAATATCTCATGACTGACTGGACCGCGGAGATCCTAACACTTAGGTGGGCAAGCAAGAAATTCTGATGCGTTAAAAATTTGTGTAAGCTATGTCATCAAGGTAGCAAGGATGATAAACTAGTGAGGCATTCTCCTGGACATCTAAAATTCGTAAACAAGGGCATACACGTGGGCTTCTGCAGCACTAACGCCAATGAATGGATAAATCTACACCGTTCTACTAGGAATCTCAAGAGAAAAGCGTACAAAAAATGTTAAAGGTCAAATTTTAGCAGCCTATTGGATGCTAGCACCGATTACCCAACAACGGTCAACAATGGATCGCTTCTCTGCAGGAGACACTGTTCTTCTAGGTAACGCGAGCATCGTTGTAGAGACCAATCCACTACATATGAGTTGCTGGATAGTCACACTGGTTAGTCACAGCTATCCTTCACTTCTGTGAACCCCAGTATTTGATCAACGCGGTAAGGAAATGACGTTCAAAACCATTTTTCGGTTCCTACAGAAGCACAACACGCCTCGAAGACTAAGAAGACTGTATACTTCGTGAGCCATGGACAACTGTTCGGCTATGCTTCGAATTCTTTCAGCATCATTGTCCACTTTGAGACATATTCTTTCCAGATGACTTCTGTAGAGCGTTGCTTCCCAGTTGGCGGAAAAATGGTGAAAACATATGATTCGATACCGTATGAACATCAAGTATTGACTAATGGTTTGGGTCCAACAACCCTTGCTCAATACCAAGATGCATGGGTTGCCGTAATATCGACTAGAAAACCGGGTCATTCCTCCATGGACCTACTCAGAATACAGTTCAAACTGTGCTGTAGCCGACATGGATCCAGCTTTTGTGCTCGATTTTGTTGAGATAGAGGCTGAAATATAAGGCCGTAGAATCGTTGACATATTCGATACATGGGCATACTCGTGTCAATGGGGTTCCTTTGATGCATTCAAAGCTACAGTTGTCTTAATGAACATCTTGAGATGGTTTAAGACCCTTCGCTCGAATGAAGTGATTTTGACAGACGAGTCAGATTCAAACTGTTGCAGGCTTTGTTAACGAATGAGGTCGGAGTGCGCATTGTCCATAATATCGACCAACCTGTGATCAGGAATATCGTCAGTGATATCATATTGCAACAGTTACCTAGTTCAAAACTATCGGCCGAGACATTGACGCACTGACCAGTGAGAGCCGTCATATTGCTTAGTGAAAACAACACGATGGGACTATTTCACAAGATAGTGATGTAGCCGAGCTTCTCTTGGTTTCGACCTCTAAAAGCCAAAGTTGGATTCGAAAATGTACAACAAGAGAGGAGGTCATGTCGTGGGTCAAAATCTCTGAGAACTCACTCGCCAGTAAAGCATTCGCCTCGGTGAGGATCTATCGTATGATGTCAATTTGGGCTTGTAGATTGAGGATCGAAGGAAAGAATTCTGCTTATTGTTTACTGCTTGACAGATGATTTGGAATAAACTCGCCAATGTTGTAGTTTCTTTGCTGGTCTACAGTCTCACTGCTATAAAAGGTCGTGGAACCCGTAGCTGCAGATGACGTCCACCAGAACATGTTCGACCCATGATTAGACAAGGATTGCTGCCCAAAGTCTGTCTATCAGTGTTATCCGCCAAAGCCTAGAACACTAAGTTTGATGAAAAAACCCGAGACATTCATGCTGCAGACGACCTTTCATGCGAAGCAATGACAGAAATAGACCTGAATACGAAGGCCATAGCCGTTGACATCGCAGGTCCGAAATTGAGAATGCGTGCACCAATTCTTAATGGCCTCTTGATGCTACAGCACGTAAGTTAATATTATAGATGGAGGAAAGCATGTTGCAATGTCACAGGACTTTTCAAGTTGGAGTGTTAATATGCGATGTCATGTATAGTTCCTACGAATATCTCATCAATATGTGTGCAAGATAAGATAAGCCTCCAATCAAGGACATATGGCACAATCTTATCCTCGGCATCAACCGCCCCGGACACTTTAAAAGTGGGAAAATTTTGGATGGTTGCGTGATGGGATGGACAGGCTGCAATATCACCATTTTACATGCCACAATTGTTTCTTATGTTGTCTACAGAGCCAAAGAACGTGGTATACTCATTATGAACGAGAGGGGCAAGTAATTTGAATTGATTGGTGATTCCGTCTTTGCCTCCATCTGCAGAGCCTGCAGCTGAAGCGACTGAAAGAGTATCCCGTTTCCTTGACATCATGATTAATACGTATGAGGATATTGGCTTTGAAATTCACAGGACCAAAGCAATAGTGAGCCAAATCAAGATGGCTTTCCTCAATAGAGTTTTTACAAGGGGGGTAGAGCTGCTAACTCCAGCCAAAATTGCTGCTGAAGTTGATCGAGAGTTGGCACGAGAATTTCGTCGATTTTAGAACAAGTTTGAGGTTCGAGTTCGAGTGCGCGACACGACAAGTATACGACAAGAGGGACGTGTTTTCGTCTACTTCACAACTTACCATCTTTTGATAAACCTGATGTGTTTAAAGCTGAACCGGAATCACCTCTAAGAAAGAAGCATATGATCCTTCCCTCAAGGATAACGAGGGTCACCCCCTATATTTCTTACTTGCCGGAAACCAAAAACTTCTTACCGATGACAACTTGGCGGCACCAAAAACAGCGGAATACGCNTGCTGAAGTTGATCGAGAGTTGGCACGAGAATTTCGTCGATTTTAGAACAAGTTTGAGGTTCGAGTTCGAGTGCGCGACACGACAAGTATACGACAAGAGGGACGTGTTTTCTTCTACTTCACAACTTACTATCTTTTGACAAACCTGATGTGTTTAAAGCTGAACCGGAATCACCTCTAAGAAAGAAGCATATGATCCTTCCCTCAAGGATAACGAGGGTTTCACCCCCTATATTTCTTACTTGCCGGAAACCAAAAACTTCTTACCGATGACAACTTGGCGGCACCAAAAACAGCGGAATACGCTAGCGCAATCGGAGTCAAAACTATGTAGAACCTCGTAATCCATCTCTCTCTGGAATTGAACTTATATTACATCATTGTTCCGTATCTTACTTCAAATTCAGAAGCACTACCTATGTCTCGAGGATTGAAGGCAGATGTCTTACCAGTTGCATAGCATTTAAAGAATGTTGAACGCAAAGAAAGAGAGCCTTGTGCATCCTCCCATCAGAAGGAAGGGAAAAGATGCAAAGTGTGTGTAGGCTTAACAACAAGAACTATGGAAGCATGAAGCCTTGCAACCTTATCACAGCCCTCTGTTTTGCTATGAAGAGCAACCAACTTTAGATGATACTGCTATGTGGCATCCTGCTCACGGTTGTTAGTGGGGAAAAATGTTCCCGTCTGTCTCGTCTCTCGTAATCTTATTGAAATCAAATCCGTATTATTGGAAGAAGATACCTGACTAGCATCAGGACTCGATGGATGTTGAATATCATAACAAGAAACTGCTCGAGAGAATAAAGCGAAGATGTCAAGAAGAGCATTATCATTTT